ATCCTCGGTGGGGTTCGGTGTATACCACAAGCCGAGCGCTTTTCGGTTTGGGGCCTACGTCAACCCTCTGTCCTGCCTCCACACAGACATGCGGCGCGGGTTTTCTTGTAGATGGAGCACCTTTTTTTTTCATGCTTTTGAACGGCGAAAGGAGCCTTTTTCGCGAGGAAGATAATTATGGCCGAGTTCGTCCTCTAGTCTTCTGTTTTTAGTTTATTTGCCCGAATCCCTCAAAAGTCCTTCTGGTGGTACCCCATACCGCCTGGTGATAGTTAATCTCAATTTCGGTTCTTAATTTCTAGGCTAGGTGGCGGAAACTGCCGCCCTTTATGAACGGCACGTCCGTTAGCATCCATCCATCCATCCACTAACTTTTTAGGAATTTGTTTTGACAGTGATCTGTCTTGGAATTTTTAGGTCAGTTATATCGCCCAACACCTGCGATAGTTTTGTATCATATATGGGGCCGTGTTTTCGGGTTTCGACACCAACACTCTGGTTGCCGTCGTCGCTCATAGATGGCGGTAGCTGTCCAGAGTGTTGTGTTTGCCGGGTGTCTGCTTTCCGCCGTCGCTCATAGATCCCGGCAGCCTATCCAGCCTTTCCACCCTGGCTTGCCGACTTGCGGCCGGCCATTACTTCATTCTCACCATAGTACAGCTTCGCTGGTCCTCCTTCTTCACCAGAGTGGAAAAGCTGAAAGGTTTTTTCGGTTTCGGGGGTGTTTTTATGGGGTTCAATGTTTTCCATAGATTCGGTGTTTTTTGGTGTCTATTTTTGATGTAGAACAAAAATCGACGTTTATCGATCGGCACTTAAGGAAACAAATTACAAGAACACGCTTTAGCTTCGCGTTTCAGAGTGGAACACGATAGGTAAACATATAAACCCCCGCTAAGTTCCCAAGCCGTGCAAACGTGTCTTCGTGGTCTATAGTCGGTAGCCTGTTTGGCTCGCAAGTGAAGGCTCGCAACCGCCTCCGCCTAAAATTGTGCAAGTGTTTTCTTTAAGTTAAATGAATTATTTTATGGAGTGAAATCATTTGAGAGATGCGGCAAGCTTTCATTCGCATTACATGTCATCCCTTTCATTCCACGCGTGATGTCACGTTTCATGTGAGCGTTGTGGGTTGTTTGAAATTCCTGCGCGAAGTCATGTGGCTGTGACGTCACGACCCTTTCGATCTATCCTATACCTGTTTTCACCTCAAGAACCATAGGAAAAAAGTCCGGCTTCTCGCGGATGATTACTAATTTTCACCTTTCGGTGGAGATTTAAGATATATTTATTAGCATTTTAGAGTGGATACACGTTATCTTATCAAGGAGTGCACGTTTCAAACGCCAAAAGCATCGCCTGTGCCTCCGACAACCAAATCTGGCGAGAACTATTTCGCGCGGAGTATGAACAATGCGCAAAACTTACTGTTTTCTTGAGGTGAAAACGGGTATAGATTTTCCGATCCCGCCGACGCCGGCTTTTCTTCGACACGAGCTCCTTAAAGCTACGGCTTTAATAAGACGAGGTTTTGGGATTCCCCAACCTCCAGGAAACATAGGCATGACCCGAATGATGTTAAAACTTCCCAGTACAGATACAGAACGAAGCGAGATCATAATAATAATAATTTTTATTTTTGCATCCGTATGGGTTACAGACGCCGGAGCCACGGACAAAAAGTCAACAAATGTTGACTTGACGGGGTCCGGGCCCCGTGCACTTGGCAGACAGCTATGGCGATACAAAAATAACTGCAGAGATTACAGCAATACGTAAAATACATATATAAAAGAGACCTAGGTTTCACAGGTTAACGAAAACAGCTCTATACAAAAAGTAAGTACAATGACTTAGGGTTTATATTGTAGATGTCCACGTCATCTACGCAATATTTGTTTAGCAATGAGGGTAGATTATGTTTTAAAGACTGGTAACTGTAGTTCGTGCGAAACGGAAACACTTTCCATTCCTCGGAGTAGCGGGTGCAGATGGTGGGTATGTTTTTGATTAATCCCGATGTCTGTTTCAGAAAATTAATAGATTAATAGGGATGCGATTCCCGAAAAAATTTGGAGCTGCCTCGCGAACAGCTCAGTTCGGGCTGTGTTCGAAGTGAATATAAATTAAAAATGTACACAGAGATTTCTTACCGTGAAGCTTGGCTTTTTTCTTATAGAAGGACACTGTCAATTAAGTTAAGGTTTTTCTCAGGGTCGTTTCTATTACTATTATTTTTACTTTTATTATTATTATCAGTAATATTATTGTACTTGGACTAAAGTGTGTCAGGACGAAGACCATGGTTGTGTCAGGGCACTGTAATAAACACTGATCCATTGATCGATTGGGTGATCATAATTCATAATCATCATCATCATAACCTGAAATCCGATCGCTTTCTACAGTCCCTTTTAGAGTCACTAAATGAGCTGCGCTTAAAGTATCGGCACTCCGTTCCCCAACACTGTTGTGGGCGCCGCCATTTTGGCTCGTATGCAGAGCAGACCAAACTGCCGATCGTCATGATTCAAAAGTGCGACTTCCTCAGCATTAGATTCGGTGTTAGGGAGCTCATGTAATATTGCCTTGCTCTGTCGCGAACTGTTTAAACATTTGTGGAGGGCGGAAATGCGTTTCCTGTGATTTCAGATAAAGCTTCAGATAACTGGCAACCATGATTTTAAGACACAATATGGCCAAGTGTCGTTACTCTGAAGCGTAGCTTATTTAGTGGCACTAGTCCCTTTGGACCTATCGCCGTCCGCGCGTGCTTTAGTTCCTCGTCGATGAGCACTGTTCCGTCGCAGCGAGAACGTGACCTATCGCGATCGCACTAACGAGATCCCGAGAAATGGCTCTGGTGGGGGTGTCAAAATTTCTTTCGCCGCTGTCCTAGCAACGAAGCTGGACTACGGTCCGAAACTGCAGGGTTGTCGTGCGGTTGCCAAGCGACGGTGTCGGCGTCCCGACGAGGGATTCCACGGCTCACTCGAGATGCCGGCAAAACTCTAGGAAAAAAAGAGAGACTTTTGTTTTTATATGTTTTGCGAGAACATGATCTATATTTTCTAATTCCCCGCCGAGTATGAGAATCAAGTCATCGCGTGGTCGAAAACTTCTGGCTGCGAAAAGTACGTGCGACCTGTGGCGGGACACGTTGTTTGTGAAGAACGTTATCGCGTTAAGAAAAAATAAAAAAAATAAATAAGGAACAACACTGACACAGAAAAAGTTTTGACGTAGAACTACGTCTTTCTCCGCGCTTGGAAGGAGGTGCTTAGTTGCGAGTCGTTATCACGAAAACTTGGTCACAGATGTGACACATCTCGAGGCATGCACCAATGACGCGGCAAACATGCTGTCGCGTCAACCACAGAAATGCCGTCAGCTCTTTTTCTTTTTAAGTTTTTTTTTTTTCGATGTGTAAAGCAATGACGCGGCGAACAATCAGTCCCGTCAGCCAGGGAGGCGCCATCGGCTATTTTTTTCTTCTTTTGTTTCTTTCTGGCAACAGGTTTTTTTTTTGTGTGTGTGTGTGTGTGTTCGCATCAATGATGCGCTGAACATGCCGTCGCGTCAGCCACGGAAGCGCTGTCTTCTCCATTCATCCATGTGTGCTTCTTCCCGAAAAAAAAAAAAACAAAAAAAAAACGGCATTTTTTTTTACTGAAATGGCCCAATAGCCTAGCCAAGTTTTATCCGCGCGGGGGCTGCAAAGTTGCCTCTACCGGACTCCGAGCCACGGGCATTAAATTCTCGCGCACCCGCCATCGTCATGCGGCACGAGCCCGTGGACGTTATCTCGAGCTGCCACAAACAACACGTCTGGGACGAGTGGACGAGGCACGGCCTCTCATGTATCAACTCCCTCTCATTTCCTGTGTCACCCACATGCAGTTCTATGGAAATTTGTGCAGCATAGTACACCTATGCACCGACAAATTAATTTTACTACTGAGAATTTGACACGTCAATAAAATAAAGAAATGATACCACCAAAACGTTTTTTTTTTAATCACCGAATGTTTACGGCCGTTAGAGCTGCGGCGCCTACTCTCAAGAAAAAGGGGTGTCAAAAGGTGTATTCTTACACCCTTTGTCTCATATAATACACCCCCAAACTTCAATTCGACATACAGCACCCTACACTGGAACAGACGGCCCGAAATTTTACGAGCGACTTGATAGCTGTGTGGTACAACTTATTAAAATAGCTAATGTACGTTTTACTGAACACGAAAAAAATAAGCTGAGTTTTCTTGGCCCTACTGTAAAAACTCGGTGGTTTCTTTATGTGGTCTTTGATACGTACTTCAGCTATTTAAAATGTTGTACCACACGGCTATCAAGCTCACCGTAAAGTTTCGGGCCCAATGTTCGACTGTAGGGCACTGTACGTCGAATTGAAATTCTGGGGTGTATTATATGGGACAAAGGGTGTAAGAATACACCTTTTGACACCCTTTTTTCTTGAGAGTGTGATCCGCGAAATCCAGTGAAGCTGATTTAGGAAAAGATAGCTGTTCCCATTTCTTTTTCGTTTTATGTTGTTTTGCATTGCGTTGCACCTTACTTTTTTTTTTTCTTTTGAAAAAATGGGACGCCAAAGATTCGGCTCTACGATTTTGGTGTCTGAAAAGTATTTCCGTTACTCACTACAAGGGGAAAGTGTAGCGAGCACAGGATTACCCATCTCACAAATACTAACGGTAATTAAACACCACGAGTTGAAAGCGCAAAAAGTACAAAAGAAAGAGACAAACCGGACAGGACAGAGCGCTGTCCTGTCCGGTTTGCCTCTTCCTTTTGTACCTTTTCGCGCTGTTTTATATCGTCATGTTTAACAACTACCAACTAGCCCAGCTCTCAACCTTATTATATAGATAATGCGTCACGCATTAGGGAGAACGTATCGCTACTTTACGAGTTGTGTGCCGTTACCGCCACTGCCCGATTCGTGGAACTCTTTTCCCTCATTCAGATCTCTTTGTCGACTGCAGGTTTCCTGACCTTCGTGAACTGCCACAGCGTGAAGCTGGCCATGAAGGTGCAGGGCATCTTCACCTTCGCCAAGCTGGCGGCACTGGTCATTATCATTGTCACGGGCATCGTGCTCATCGGACAAGGTTTGCTCCCTTGGCAGGTTTTACGTCAGGCGGTGAGGTGTCAAAGGTGTTTTAAATAGGCTCTTTATGGTTTCATGAAAAGGGTCACCAACGTTACTAGAACTACTCAGTTGAGAAACTGCCATAGAGCCTGCTTTGAAAGAGTGGCTCCGATCCGTACTCGAGAACCGAGCTAATGGCGATCGCAACGCCGCCATTTCTCCCGCAGCGTCCACTCCGGTAAAGTGAACTAGAGGAGGGGTAGTGAGATCAGGCGCCGAGGCGCGCCATGCATTGCTGTGAAACGGCGCGTGTGGAAAGGTCCCGGATGTACGCGGTGGCGCTGCGGACGTAGTGGCTGTAGGATCCGACCGCTTCCGAGCGTTCCGAAGGCCGTGGGTGAGAAGAGTTGGCTTGCATTTTTGACAGCTCGAAGTGGCCCCCATTCTGAACCGTTTTTTATCCCGTGTTACCCGAGTCTGCTGTCGTTTATGGTCATTGAAGTGCCATGCCGAATCGACGTCGACAACGCCACTGCTTCGCTCCGGGGTGCCAGAGGGGCTATCAGCTGGCGGAAAGGTGAGCAGCCGTAGCTGTTCTCAGTGCCCTAGGAGGAAGAGCAAGGAAAAGTTTGGGAACGGAACTTCCATCGCCAGTATAAGCTCCTGGACGAAACGTGTTCGGTGTGTGAGCTTCATTTCGACCGATCGTTTATTACGCGAGACTTCGTTCATATTTTAAACGATGAAGAGGTGCGCATTCCGCGTGGAAAGCCGCAGCTCTTGCCGGGCGTTGTACCGACAATGCTTCCGAATTCTCCGAGCTACTGATCAAAGAAAGCGTCGCAGCCAAGGCCCACGAGAAAGCGAAAAAACGCATATGCTTCCTCAGTTGACGGTAAAAAAAGGCCACACACTGCCTCTCCAACTGCCTGCAGCAGCACTGCCAGCACCACACCGGCTGCAGCCGATACCGGGGCGTTTGATGAAGCCTGTATGCCCGAAGAGTACTCCACGCTGCGTGTCCCCTCCGAGTACTGGAGCTGTCACCGAGCTCCGAGCCTCAGTGGTTTAGTGTATTGTAAACTTAAAATGTGTGACAATGAAGTTTTATCCGAGAGAGTAGTGATTTGTTCACGAGACAGCATGCCTGGTGTTGTATACACTGTTCATCTTTGTGGCTGAAGGAGGACGCGTCGTCAGCTGCGAGGAACCGGAGGTTCTTCTCCGAGACGTCGTCTCCTATCGTCTCTGTGGAGGTGCCGTGCCGACGAAAAATAAGTCCCGCGAACAATTCCGGTATAATGTAAACACATTGGAACCTACAGCGAGATCCCCCCGCGTCGCGAAAATTAGAACCCGCGAATTATATTGAAACTTCAGCTTCGACCTAAATCGCGAAATATTTAGCCTGCGAAAAATACGTCGTTTACAGTATTGTGTTTTTGCTGAGTTTAACCAATAAAAAGTGTATTCATGTATAAATAACAGGATTTGCCGTCACACGAGTTCCTTTTGTCCAGTAGTATTTACCCAACAGGTTTCTTTGAAATTGGCTTAACGAGACACATGATGTTGAATCAATAAAGGAGATTAAACCTTGGGGCTAGCTATGCACGGTTTCAATACTAGGTATAAAAGGAATGCCCTGTTAACGATTGCATGCCATTTTTGAGGCTTGAGCCGCGATTGTTTAAATGTCTAGGAAACATGAATATGATCCTGTCTCGTAAATATTACAACTAGCCATTTATGCGCGCGAGTGAAGAACTTCGTGACCATTAAATAGCTTCACCCTATTTCTAATGAGAGACTCGTAAAAACCCACCCGCTATTAAAAAAAAAAAAAAAGAAATTTCACGAACATTTTGGTTTCGAAACGCCGCCCGGGAAATTGAACTGGCGGTGTTCGCCTTCCACGTCGCGCATTTCTGCTTCGTACCCCGCATTAAAGCGAACACGGCCGGACGAATTGCGTCAATTTTGTGTCGCGTATTTCTTTTATGTGGTTCGGACCTCAAACGAAAAACATTTAGAGCCGAAACGCTCCAAGAAAGAGTGTTTAGACGCGCAGCAAATGCAATGCGAGCCGCCCTGGCCACCCGCTTCATCCAGCCCATGCATTCGCGACGCCCTCTCGTGCCGTCGACACGAAGTGCGGCCGCCGTCAGCGCGCTCTGACCTCACTACCCCTCCTCTAGTTCACTTTAACTCCGGTAACCGCACGGCTGCACTTATTGGTTCAGGTCGAGTCGGGCAAGGGTCGGTGGCGCCATCTCGCAGGGCCATCTCGCAGTAGCTATATAAAGCAACTTTCCTGTTTTGACCCGGCGTTAAAGGGTGGCGCTGTTATCGTATTTAGCTTGGTCTCTGTGGACGCCAGCGGTCCAAGTCTCAAGAGTGAGTTTCCCAACTGAGTGTTTTAGTAACGTTGAGGGTCACTAAAGAAGTTTTTTTTTACTTTGTTGGAAGGACTCTTGAAAGGCGCACTTAAGTGGATTTGAACTTCTCCATTTAAAAATGTTTAGGAGAGTTCAAGAGAGTTTTGACATCTTTCTGGGAGAGCTAGGTACACTCAAAGGGGTTTTGGCTTTGTCTTTTAGGACTCTTAAATGGTTCTCTAGAGAGAATTTTGGCTTTATGTGTTGTAAGGACTCTTGAAAGATGCACTAAAAAGGTTTTTGGCCTTTGCCATGCTAAGATTATTATTAGGCGCACTAAAGAGGGTTTTGACATGTTTTTTTGAACTAAGAGCCAGACCCTAGTGTTTTGACTTTGTTTCTAGAACTCCTAAAATGTTCTTTAGAGAGGTTTTTTTACTCATTCGTGTAAGGATTCGTCAAAGATGCACCAAAGAGGTTTTGGACTGCCATTTTAAGTTGCTTAAAGGGCGATGCACTCAATATCAAATCAAATCAAATCTTTATTATCTAGAAAACTGGAGGGATCGCCAGACAGAAAGCTGTTAAAAACAGCTTGCCTAGGTGTGGAATCCCTTTACATTGGCAGCAGCTTTGATGCTCAAAAATACATGTTACATAAAAATAAAAAAAATACCACAAAAACATGTAATTCGAAATCCCACTACGCGAAGCTACACACAGTACAAGCGGAGGTCTTTTTTTTATTTAGCGTGTATATGTGTATGTTGTTTGTGATATACTTTTTTAATGATCATGGTACATTATATTGTAGTGACTAAAAGTTGTAGTTTGTGCGAGATTGAGGAAGCACATATGTCTCTGTACGGCGTGTGTTAACATTACTTTCATTCATTTTGAGGCCTGAAATTATATGTACAAAAAATGTACAAATGCCGCGGAGGAAAAACAAATCCCATTAAGTAAACGGTATTCGTACATGCTCACTACTGGAAGCATTCTAAATTTTGTAAACAAAGGTTCTCTGCGGTCCGTATATGAAAAATCCGCGATATAGCGTGCTATTTCTTTTGCAGTAGTTATACATTTTGAAGATCTGTTTTTGTCGTTGTAGCCCACACAAGATGACAATAGTTTAAATGAGAGTGAAATAGAGCATGGCAAATTTGTAGCTTAATGTTGGGGGGTAAAACACTCCGACAACGAGTGGCAATAACGACAAGTGCTCCGAAAAAAAAAATACACCTAAAGTTTTATGTTTATTTACTCGTTGAATTTCCGAAGTGCCAAGTTGGATTGCATGATTAACCATGACTGGTTTATTGGTAGCCCTGAATAAAATAGCCTTCACTTACTTTTGCGTTTACGTTGAGCCGATTTACTTCAGACCACTTAGAAAACTCTTTTTAGAACAGAGTTTGCTTTGCATAGTCCTACATTAGCATCATCACCAGAGAGAAACAGGCTTGTGTCGTCTGCATGAATAATAAACTGCGCTTCATTGTCAATATTTACAATATCATTGATGAAGACATTAAACAAAAGAGTTCCTAATACACTTTTCTGCGGTACGCCTTGCTGTACATTTCTAAAAGAAGAGCAATGACCATCGATAACAACGCAGTGCTTCCTATATTGTAATTATGATTTCAGTAAAACAAGTGGCACACCTAAAGAAGCGAAAAAAAAAAAAATACAAGGACAAGGAAGTAGACAGACAAGCGCTCTTGTCTGTCTACTTCCTTGTCCTTGTATTTTTTTTTTTGCGCTTCTTTAGGTGTGCCACTTGTTTTACTGAAATCATAATTACAATATAGGAAGCACTGCGTTGTTATCGATGGTCATTGCTCTTCTTTTAGAAATGTACAGCAAGGCGTACCGCAGGGAAGTAGACAGACAAGCGCTCTTGTCTGTCTACTTCCTTGTCCTAGTATTTTTTGCGCTTCTTTAGGTGATCATAAACCAACTGGCCCAAATTGCTACCTTAATGAAGTGGCACACCACGGACGCCTTCACGACGCCCCGCCCACTCTTTCCTCCTCCCGGTCTAATGTTGGCCCTCGTCCTTCCCACTGTCGGTTATCTTCAGCGTTCTTTGCACATGGCCGAAAGTGAAGGCTGTCGGCGCCGCGCTAAAGCACGGAAGAGAAGGCAACACGTGGGGGTTTACCGTCAGAGCGACGAGTTTTAGCAAGTCGTTTCCACAAGAACGGTTCGCCCTTGAACGCAACGCCGACGCCACTGCGCATGCGCGCGCGAGTCGTTCGGCGCGTCTGGAGGCTCTTCTCGTTCGTTTCTTCCATTCCGACCGCTGGAGCCGTCACCGGAATGTAGCCAGCCCCGTTCACGACTAGAGTAAAAAGAAAAAAAAAAAAAAAAAAAAAAAAAGTTGGCCGTTTGGCCACGCACGCGCTCGCTCGGCGACGCGCGTGGCAACATCCATCTGTAAGAAATATTACAAAGGCAACACGGGCTCTGTATGAATAGTACAGGGTGAAACAAGGAGACATCAGGCTCTCTAAATTGACCGGAAAATTCGGTTTCTTAACCTATCACGCTACGACTTTGTGCAGCGTTGCCCACAGATGGTGCATTTTTTTTTTTGTAAAATTTGCGAAGAGCGAACTTACCCGAGGAAAAAGTAAAGAAAGAAAAAGGCTTAGCTCCTATGTAAACGCAGCGACGCCACCGGTCTGCAAACAACACGGCGCCGTTTCGCACGGGAGACAAGAGATGGCGCAAGCGGTCGCGACGCCAACTGCCTCCAACGAACGAGCAGACGACGCCGAGAGCCGGCCCTTTTGAAGACAAGGAACTGCAGTTCCTTGCTGTTACCGCGCCTGTCTTTTTTGTTTCTGCGACTATCGCCGCCTGCGGAACGCGCGCCGCTTTTGAGTCGAAAAGATCGTCTGCTAAAAAGGCCTGCTCTCGGCGCCGTATGCTCGTTCGTTGGCGTAGGGAGCCCGTTGGCGTCTGCGTTGGCGCACGGCTCTGCGTTGGCGGCGTTTGTTGCGCCATCTCTTGTCTCCCGTGCGAAACGGCGCCGTGTTGTTTGCAGACCGGTGGCGTCGCTGCGTTTCCATAGGAGCTAAGCCTTTTTCTTTCTTTACTTTTTCCTCAGGTAAGTTCGTTCTTCGCAAATTTTACAAAAACAAAAACAAAAAAAAAACAACACCATCTGTGGGTAACGCTGCACAAAGTCGTAGCGCGATAGGTTAAGAAACCGAATTTTCCGGTCGATTTAAAGAGCCTGGCGTCTCCTTGTTTCACCCTGTAGAGATGGCCAAACTTTTGCCGAACTTTTTTAAGATTCGGCAATGATTTGGCAAAAATACATTGTTACCAGACTTAACTTTGATATTTAGTTGTTTTTTTTTTGGCGAAAAAAGGTTTTATGCTGGTTTTCTTCTTAGCTTAAATGCAACACATAATGCATATTGACACAAAATATCATACTAAATAAGGTGATATCATGGTTTCACGTGACGGCTTGCTAAATTTAGCTGGACGTAAGTTCGCTAAATTTAAACGCAACTGTGTAACTGTGTGCAGCATTGTGCACTATCTCGGCTGCCACCGCAGTTTATTTGCGGAACACAGCAATAAATGGGAATTTTTGTTATGTTATCGTCCTAAATTTATTGTGCGAGTACTCTCAATATTTTACGGTATCTGTTTCAACTCGGTCCTGGCAATCATTCGGTGCTCTTTTCCTTTTTGCAGGACAAGTGGGCTACCTGCAGAACAGCTTTGCTGGGGAGTACTCCGTGTCCGGAATATCCCTCTCCTTCTACGCCGGGCTCTTTGCATACGGAGGATGGTGATTATTCAATTTGTTTCATGAACTGAGTCACAATTGAGGCAATACATCGGGTAACTGTAGGAATGAATGGACATACGATGATGGTTGTAAGAAGACGCAGTAATGGGTCATAGGTTTGAAGACCTTGATTTAAAGGGATGCTGAATCATCCCAAAATTTTTTTATTTTTATTTTTTTTTGCCAGGCGATTTATTATGTTGTCAGAAGACTATCCAATCATTATTTTGCTACGGCATCACGTATAATAATAATAATAATAATAATAAATTTTATTCAGATCATAAACAGATTACATATGCAGGCCTGCAAAAGCACTGGTGTGCTTGTATGCGGGACCTGGCGTTTTTAATTGTTTTTAATAAAGTTTTTTTAAATGTTTTTAATAAAGTAAAAAAAACGAAACTGCTCGAAACCGGAACTGAAACCGAACTGCGGAGGAAGAAGAGATATGGGGGAAGAGAAAGTTACCGGAAATCACGTGGCTGTGCAGCTTTTTTTTTTTTTTCTATCAACGAATTTGCCACGTTTTAGAAGCCACAAAAAAATCGGTGTCTTATTTTCAGTCTATATGTAGTTGAGTCTGTGCCTTCAATGACCCACGATTCCGATTATCTGTGGTGGTTGTGTCTAAACCATAAAAAATGGCTTATGATCACGGAAAAAAAAAATTAAGCGTGACTCAAAATGGCCAGTTCTCGATCGGCGGTTTTCGGGCAAAAAGAAAACGAATTTCGAGCTGTAATTTGTGTTCTGGGTAGTTGGACTCTCATATGACGTGTACAGATAAAAACCTTGGCAAGCATAAATACTCTGTCTGTGTCCCTTTAAAGCAGGCATTAAAAGGAGGAAGGCAATGGTTTTATTAAACTTAGTAAAACCATTCGGTGTGGCACACACGAGTGACATCTCATTTTGGTATCTCTGAGTAACTCATGAAACAAGTTGAAATGTTACCAAAATATTTCAATCTGATAAAAGAGTGCTGATTTCGAGCTGCTACAAATCCTTTTTGTTTCAAAAGCCTCCTGCATTCTCTTCCTCTTTTTTTTTCCAGTTTTTTGCAGTTTTACATTTTTCTTTGCAGTAAAAGTTTGCCACCTGGTCTGTTTTCTTAGTACTCTGTACTCTTTACACTTGATACGTTTTTAGGTTTCACTTTGAGTATTCAGCTTTAAGTATCGAGATTTTGGTATTCAGCATGAAGTATATAATATTGAGTGTCCAGCATTGATTATTCAACTTTTGTTCAGCTTTGAATATTCACCGTTGAGTATTCAGCTATGAGCATTCTGTTTGGAGTATTGAGTGTCAGGAGTTTCTCTTCACGGAACTCCTCTCTGGTCTTCCCATCTACAGTGGAGCATTGGTGACTTTCTCACTTGCTTATTGCTGTCTCTTTCTTGCTTTCGTTTCTAGGAACTACCTAAACTATGTGTCAGAAGAACTTAAGGACCCAAATAAGTGAGTAATATGCCACAGTTTCTGAACACTGTTCAACATTCTCATTATAAGTCGTCCCAACAGAAATAGCCGTGAACTTCTGATTTTCAAAATCAATGTGATCTGACATTTCTGCTGCATATTGCATGCACTTTATTGATATATCTCTGCACATTAATATTTATGTGGATAAAATAACATACAGAATGCAAGTAGTAGGAAAAGTGTACCAACTCCGCCACGGACCAGTCACAGTGCAGGAGGGCTTTTCTTACCCTTCTCCCATCCCAGTGACCAATGACAGGCCGTGGTCATTGATGGCCATGCCCCCAGTGATCACCAACATAGTTGGCCCCACCAACAGGGCACTGGCCAGGCACCAATCGGAGCTCGTAGATGTCCCCACCCCCGAGTCACATACGCAGTGTAGGTGTGAAGTCACGTCTGCGGTACTTGCCAGACGCTTGGGAAAGGAATGTAGCAGGGGGCTGTTAGTCACAGCAGATGTCATCACCATTTGTTGACAACCGCTGTCATGACAACCCAGTGACATTACCACTTGATGTCACCAGGTTTGAGCTGCTTCCGAAAGAGGGTGCTAGGCGCAATGGGATTTGAATTGCATCATGGAAAAGGGGATTTGGAGGGAATTCTTGCTGTGGTTACCTGATGAAGGTCATGTGATATTGGAATCGCTGCGTGGTAAATGTTTTATTTGTTAAAAAAGATTCTGCGTCGACTGGGAATCAACCTCGATACCTCGTCCACTGTAGCCTAGCACTCCACTAATTGAGCTACCAGCACAACGCTTCCTCGAAATCTTAACCCGTGCTAGTTATCCGTATGTTGACTGCATGTGCAATTCAGATCACGTGTTAAAGCTGCCTTGCCACTTGACTTTTGTAAAGTAATTTAAAATAAAGGTGAAATATCAATATAGTTTTCGGTCCCGTGATTCTTGCACATAATTTTTGTTAAATTTTATTATGACATCGCGCTTGGAATTAAGTCCGGAAAACATGCTTTTTGTGCTCTCCTAGATACGTGCAGGACTTTCCATAAAGTGGATCACTGTTTGTTAATGAAAAGTTACATGTTTTGAATATTGATCCTTATGTTTTTTCTAGATTGGCAACTACTTTTGTGATGGAACGCCGCATGTGATTTTGAATGGTCATTCATCAAGTACTGTAATCGTTGCATCTAATGTCCCACAAGGCTCAATCTTCGGTCCTCTTGTTCTGGCGTACATAAATGATATTTATGTAAAATTTTTTTTGCATCTTAAACTATTCGTTGGGGTGTTGTTTTATACAGGACAATTAACGATGATGCTTATTTTAAACTTCAATTAGACAAGTCGAATATCAATCTGGTTTAGTGACTGGTGCGTGAAACAATGTAAGTAAATGTAGAATGGCAAGTTTTTTTCCGAGAGAAAGAAAAGTTATAGAAGGTCTGTGCTAATTATTAAACACAAACATATTGAAAGAACTAAATTTATTTCTTTATCTTAGTGTTACTTCTCAAGTGACCTGTCATGAAACAATCATATCAATGCAATAACAAAAAAGGCAAATAGCCTCTTAAATTTTGTGTGTCGGAATTACCAGCGCTGCCCTTCAGAACTAAACGAAAGTTTGGGTTTTCCTTTTGTCCGTTCAGTCCTTCGATATGCATGCAAAATCTGGGACCCCCCCCCCCCCCCCCCCAAAAAAAAAAAAAGTATCTCTGATAAACTAGAACGAATGCAAAGTTGCAGTGCAAGATTAGTCCTAAATAATTATACATTTAAAGCAAGTGTCACAAATATGAAATCCCATTTAAAATGAAAACTGCAGAAGAAGCCTGACCTAAGACTAAAGATTTCTACTAATTTTATAATGATGTACGCTGTATTGCTAGAGATGACTATATTTGAAGTCCGATTTGCATGTCAGAAAGAGTAGAAGAAAAATATTGTGTTTTCTGGCACAGCTGCAACGGAGACCATAGTGCGCCAAGAACAAGGTGCACCTCTATGACAGTGTTCAAATATCCTTCAGTAAGTATTGCTCATTTTGGGTTAGACACGTTCAATATTGAAAGGCGTTGTTATTGCTTTCTAAAAATTTGAAAAGCTTGGGTGTATGACACGAGAGATTCATCACCAATTAAAAGTGCAATATAAAATGGTATGTGTTCATTACAAAAGATGGAAAAAAGAGGAGCGCGGTTGCTTATAAAACTGAGGACTAATGGAATTTAAACTATGCTTAGGGGGATCGGTGGCCAAGTGATCTAGCGCACACCGGCTTGGAGCACGTAAAGCGAAAGCTCGCACTGCAAAACCTTTAGATCCTGAGTTCAATCTCGTTAAATTTTCGGACATCTGGTGGTAACAGCTTAGACCCGCTAAATTTGGGCGTCATCTGACGGTCCTTTAGCTCGGACGTGCCCCTGTAGTTAGTGGCGTCGCCATCTGTAGGTAAAACGTTCAAGTATCCTTCCAGGGATGTTTTTTTTTATTTATTTATTTATTTACATAGAGTCCTGCATTGCCAGTTGGCATTATAGCAGGGGTGAGTACATAAAATACATTAAATTCTAACAAAAACATCGAAACACAAACTTGTATAAACGTTAAACACATCCTTCAATAGCCAACCTATTCCATTCTTTTATAGTTTTTGGAAAAAAAGAAAACACAAAAAAACATCAGTACGGCAAAAGTAGGGTCCGATTTTGTTCTGGTCGTCCGCCCTTTCCAATATATTAAAAGGTTCCTGTAAAAACATTTTTCGACTGATTAAAAGGTGATTGCTATATATATCATGTAAAAATTTTAACCTAAACATTTTTTGGTGTTCGACTACCGTAATATCCCGAGTCATCGCCCATCCCCGAGCCATCGCCCACCCCATTTTTCGGGCCAATATCGATTTCCGAAAAAAACACCGAGTCATCGCCCACCCCTTCAAATACCCCAGCGCGGACTCTGCGATCCGCGAACACTCATCCTACCCGAATGACGCGGTCGCGGACCTTACAGTTGGAGGACGTCCGTGACAAAGTAAAACGAAGGAGGGAAAGACACTTCTTTTTGTTTACGCATTTCCTCCGTGAGCGACCCCAAAGTGGTCGTGTATCCGTGCGAAAAGAAAACGATGGAGATAACAAAATAAGAGTTTGTTAACGTAACCGCGGAGTGTTAGGTCAAAGTCTGTCTCCGCCGAAGGTCACCGCGAACCCGCTCCTTCTTCCCGCCCGTCGCGACCCCGGTTGTGCAATATTTTAGGCAAAGCCAAAGCGTAAATAAAGCTTTGCTGGAACGTCCTACACAGACGTTTGCAGAGCGTCCCAACCGTGCATTGATAGCCCGCCCTGGACGGACGCACGTATGTACGCACCAAACAAGTTGCGCAAGAGCTTGCAATTGACAAGGCGCCCGACTTGGCCCGACGCCAAAGTATTTGCCAACGCGACCGCCGGCTTTCCCGCTTTCCCAGCATTGCTCTTGGTCGCTTCTTTGGCCCGCTCGCTCGCTCGCTCGTTGCGCCTGGTCGGTTTTTCTATTTTCTTGTAGACTTTTCTTTCTTTCTTTTTTTTACTAACTAGGAGAACATAATATTGACATTCTTTCACGGAACAAACGTTCGCGCTATATGCAGATCGGCGGTGTTTCTAGCGCGTATGCAAGCAACGGACTTCGCTATAGTAAAATATTCTTTCGTGAGCATTTTTTCTATAAAACAATGAAACTAAATCGAGTTTTGAGTTTGATGTATCTCTTGTGCATCAGCGCTAGATACGCAGAGAAAAATAGGCGGTTTTTCCCGCTTTTTTTTCAAGTGTTTGTGCTCACCCACCGAGACATGGCCCACCCCACTTTTTTAACGAATTTCAGGCGGTAGGGGGGTGGGCGATGACTCGGGATATTACGGTAGTGATTCCCACTTTAAATTCTTCTTCAAGGTGGTGACACTTTCCCTGCGTTTGGTAATCACTTAGAATAAATCTAGCGCACTGATTTTGAATTTTTTCCAGTTTTTCTATTAGGTTATTGTGGTGGGGATCCCACACAACCGCTAAAAAGGATAAGCTTGGGGCTTTGTATGAGAAATGGACCCTGGCGCCATCCTTTGATAAAAAGTTCAAGTATCCGCCCAGGGTTGTTTTTCGTACATGACTTAAAGGATAAACGTGGAGATGACATTGTGAGAAAGAGTCTCCGGTGTGGAGATGGGATGTATGTATGCTACTCATATAAAAACTAAAAATAGAGCTTCATTTTTATTTTTTCATTTCCAGATAGTTTTATGCACTCTTAATGCTTATAAACCAAGAAATCTCAAAGCAAATATCCAAAGACATGCATGTCAATTTCAAAGACCATTTGAAAGACTGCAAAGTGTTAAATGTTTTGGTGAACATTATGTAAGAAGAGAAATAAAGAGTCGCCAAACAGGGTCAAGAGAAAATGTTAGGTTCGTATTCATGCTTGATAACAAAGCAACTATTTACAAACATCTCAAGAGAAGACATTTAGCAACACTCACTTCAAAATTAAATTAAATGCTTAGAAACGTTTCGAAACACACGTTTAATTCACAATGGGAACCACCACAGGGGGCACATTTTGGTCTAATGATCAAGAGTCAAGCTAAGTAGTTCAACCAATTTTTTACCGTGGTGATTGGATGGCTTCCCATAAGATAACCTGCTCTTTCCGCGACACAATCGACGAGACTGAGTAGTCGTAGGAGGGATCTTTTGTTATGAAGACCGTGGAACCATAGCGATATTCGAGCTGATAGAATAAATTATCTAGTAGTTTCAGAGCCCTTTGGTGAACTGATCATTGTAATTAAATTTCATTATTTTGATGGATTCTCGCACTTGCTTCAGGCTGCAGATTCCCTTGAGATGCAGTAGCATCATATTGAAGCAGAGTACTCAAGGTCATCCAAGGGGTCGCGACGGGAGTGTGCTTGATCCACTAGATGCATTAATGATAGGTAACAGGTCCGCAAAAATTTTAG